AGGGTAGGGCGGCTACGACGTCTCTCTTTGAGCGTCTCTGCGTGTTCTGTGTTGCTCGACCCGGCCACGGCTCGGCTCGGAGGGGCCGCCGTCAGCCGGGTCAACGAGGATGCGAAAGAGAGAAGGGGAGAGAGGGGGTGCAAGAGCCAGAGTGCGCAGGGCCAAGGAGAACGTCACGCTGTTCGCGACACGAAGAGGCGGTCATGGCAAAGCCCTTCCGGGCGGGCTGCTTTTAACTCGGGCGCTCGCCCCGAGCAGCTCCAGCCGGCTCCGGCCGAGGATAGCCAGCAACGCGGTCTGGAGTGGAGGCCAGAGGGTGGTACTCCTCCAGGCGGGCGCGCGGCCTCTCTCCCAGCCGCGCCGCCGAGGAAAGAAAGGAAATAAAAACAGAACTCGTCGACTTGAAAACGATTATACCGCTGGGATGACCCCGGTCCCCACGCGCAAACGCCGGCTGGCCCGCTCAGCAACAGCGGGGGCGGCGGCATCAGCCGAGAGCGCGCGGGATCTCTCAAGAGACGGAGCGCGCCCCGAGTTTTCCTTTATCCTTCCCCTTTTCATGATGTTCCCTCATGTGTTTGCTCGTTTCGTTTCGGACAGACATCGACGAGTGCGCGGAGCGGCCGGGCATCTGCCAGGACGGCACGTGCCACAACCTCCAGGGCAGCTTCCAGTGCCAGTGCCGGCAGGGCTTCCAGCTGAGCGCGGCCCGCGACTCGTGCGTCGACGTCGACGAGTGCGCGCGCCAGCCCAACCTGTGCGGCAACGGCACCTGCGTCAACAGCCTGGGCTCGTTCCGCTGCCACTGCTTCCCGGGCTTCAAGATCGGACCCAACAACGACTGCATCGGTACGGAAAGTTTGAGCTCGGCGCTGCTGTCTCACGTCTCACAGAGCATCAAAAGAGCAGGGAATAGACGGTTCCGGCAGTGCCCGTTCACAGAAGAATTAAGGAATTCCTTCCTCCGGTGGTGATTTAAATCACCACCGGAAACAGCTCTAAAGTACAGGTTAAAACCAATGCAAATGGACCTTGACAGTTACTAGGGAGGTACTTGAGTTTTGCGTCGATCCACACTGTCAAATAAGAAAAATAGGCGAAATTAAGTACTGGTCCCGGTACCGAATTCCTTACTTCTTCACGAAACGCGCACAGCCGGAACCGTCTATTATTTCAGGAGTTCTCCTGCTCGATGGGGGGTGGGGTGGCGGGATCCCCCGCGCGGCTGTATAAGCGGATCTCGGTATCCCGCGCCCCTTCCATGCAAACGCGAGGGTCGAGCGGGGGGCGGGGGGGGGGGGGGGGGGGGGGATGGGGGAGGAACCCCTCTCGCACCGGACATTATACAAACTGCAGCCCAGCAGCCACTCCCACCTGGCGTGCAGCGCAGCTTAGCATGAATGATGAAAAGCTGTAGTGAATTTTCCACAGAGGGGACAGACGAACCAGAGAGGGAGCGGTGGGACAGTGGGGCATGGGAAGGGGGGAACGTTGATCCTGGACAATGCGCGGGCCCGGATATTGTCCAGGCCCGGTCGGCCGGCCGGCCGGTCGGCTTGTCCATCCGTTCCGACTCGCTGATCCCCTCCATTCATATTCATATTGCCGTAGACACGGACGAGTGCCGCACGGCCCCCTTCCTCTGCCGCAACGGCCGCTGCAGGAACACGATGGGCTCCTTCCACTGCGAGTGCGCCGAGGGCTACACCCTGTCCGTGGACGGACAACACTGCCGCGACGTGGACGAGTGCCGGGAGGTGAGGACTTTTCTTCAATTCGCTCGCTCGCTCGTGAAGACCAACCAACTACCGAGGACGGTCGTCTCACCGCATGACGCGATATTGGTTGCAGCAACCAGGGCTGTGCCCGCCGCCCGGCAAGTGCCTCAACCTGATGGGCTCCTACCAGTGCACCTGCCCGGCCGGCTACCAGCTGGACCCGCGCACCCGCGCGTGCGTCGACGTCAACGAGTGTCTGTCGACGTCCAACCTGTGCGAGGGCGGCACCTGCGTCAACCGCGAGGGCGGCTTCGACTGCCGGTGCCCGCCGGGCTGGGAGCTCAGCCCCACCGAGGTGAAGTGCCTGGACCGCCGCCAGGACTACTGCTACGACACGGCCTACCGCGGCCAGTGCACGGACCCGCGCATGCGGGCCGTCACCATGATGGAGTGCTGCTGCAGCATGGGCGCCGCATGGGGCCGCGGCTGCCAGGACTGCCCCATACCGGGCTCGGGTGAGTGGATCCAGTTAGTCATAGGGGCGAGCGGAGCAACGCGAACAACCGGCTGGCAACTTTTAACATTGCGCCGGGCGCTGGGTACCGCGTACCGCGGGCGGAGGCGGTGGCGCCGGGGCCTCCACCGAGCTACGCCGCGCCACGCCGTAAAGCGCACGGACGCGCATGGAAATTGCTTTTCGCATCTCGGGGATCAGGTAGTAAAGCTGCATGACATGACGTAATAGCTCTGGAGACAGTTTTATCTCCGCTGCTCCGTCTCTCTCGTACTCATTACGGTAGATGGGGAAAGAGAGGGGGAGAGCACGTGAGGGGAGAGAGAGAGAGAGAGACGTCAAGGGGGTGGGTGGGCACGCGAGGGGAGAGGGTAGTTTGCGCGGAGCAAACGCCCGCGGGGTAGGCTACCGCACTGGAGCGATGCACGGGCGCGGGTGGGTGGCCTACCCACCGTCCGTCGGGCGCTTCGCTACCGTCCTGACCGGACCGCTTACGTTTTTGTTGACATTTTTTTTGTGTTTTCGTTTCCGCAGACGAGTTCAAACGGCTATGCCCGATGGGCGAGGGCCACGGCGTGCACGGCGAGGACCTCAACGAGTGCGACATGATGCCGGACGCGTGCGTGGGCGGCGAGTGCATCAACACGGACGGCTCCTTCCGCTGCGAGTGTCCGCAGGGCTTCAAGCTGGACAGCGAGGGCAAGAAGTGCGTCGGTGAGTCGTGGGGGGGCGGGGGCTG